TCCTTGGTGCGGACTCCGTCAATCTTCAACAGAGTGCAGTTGCTGTAGCAATTGGACTTGCTGCGCTTGTAACCCAGGATCACCCCCTTGGCGTAAAGTCGAATTGGCTGCTTGGTCTTCTTCACCGTCTTCTTTTTGGCCACCTTCTCACCAGCCATGACGGCGACCTTCCACCCCGTTGCTTGACAGGTGCACAGCCTACTTCCCTAAGAGCAAAGTGCAACAGCAATAACAATCAATAAAATGATATATATATATATATGTGGATATATATATATATATATATGTAACATGCAATAATCTAGGAAGGTAGCGATGCATCAAACCTTACTAACAGACAAGCACTTCAATCAAATCCATCTCCCGCTTCTTGAGACTTGAGAATGCATGCGACATCTTTTTGGTGATACCAGTAGCAAGAGTTCCTTCAGTCCGCCTCTTGGGAACTACCTTCCTTTGTGGTATCTCCGAGCGGCGCTCTATGGATTAGAATCCAGGTACTTGCAAAGACCGGGTGCCGCTCAGCCCCTCTTGTGAGACCCAAAGGTCTAGAGAAGAGGCAACCGATCCAAGCGAAAAAGGAATCGCTTTGGGGCGACAACAGGCACACTGCTCACTTGTAAAAGTTGAAGTTCAAGAAACGGACTTTGTCTGTCCAAAAACAAATAGGAGTACGGTATCAAGAAGTGCTATTCGAGTTTTATAATATAGTAGACTTCTATGGATACTCTCAAGGCATCGTAGTGAAAGGGCGTTGCTTGCCCACTTTTGAAAAAAGCACCATCTCACTGCACAGCACAGCAGCCACCTCCACTGGACTGACCTCACAGGTGCACGCGATGCAGACACATCGCAACTTGTGGTGACCTCATAGCAAACGACCAAGCGAACCGCACCAGGCCTACTGGCTTTTGCTGCCTTAGCGGTTTCACTCGTTGGCTTTACAATTGGCCGAGTCAACAAGTCTTGGAGTAGCTTGCAGTCAAGGAGGCTACTAGGGGCTCCTGGCATTACTACTAGGAACAAGAAGCTACTAGTAACAAAGGTCATCGCTATGAACGGAGCGATCGGATGCTACTACCGTAATATCTGCTCAATTCCCGTGCAAATCCTGCATCCAGGCAAAGAAGGAATCCGAGGCAGCGACCCTTTGCTGGCTGGTGTTGCATCAGTACCACTAGCCTCCGGTAGAAAAAAAAAAACCTTGGCAATATAAAACGAGCAAATGAGGACTGAACCAAAGCAAAAACAGTTTCTACCATCTACAATTTTCCGCATCTAGCCACTCCCCAGTCCCTACTTGGCCCCTACTCCTCCAGGTGCACAAAATGACGCTGTACAAACAGATCTTCAGATCTTCATGAGATGAACAGTGCGACTCGGCCTGGGCGCCACCACCAAGCAAGGGTTCCTAAGCTTTAAAGGCTCGCGGTCGAATATGGTCGAAGAAACATGTTTCCAGGTACAGTACCTCGCTGCGGCGCTCGGTCGCTCGTTGCGCGACTTCTTGGACTCGGGCCTGATCTTTCCTCTCTTGAGGCCGCTCCTCTGGTCGATTTCGGTCGGCGTCGAAAGACCTTTCCCAGTCAGACTGAAAAACATGAAAAAATACCCGAACAATATGTGCTGTATTGCACATAATATGTAATAAACTTGATCATTGCTTTTGTTGTTTGGGGCCTATACACAAAAACAGAACCTTCGCCAAAAAGCTTTCGCGAGTTTTCGCGGCTGCAAAGGGTGCCTACGCGGTGCACATGATTCTCAAAGGTGCCTACGCAAACGCTTTCGCGGTGCATCGGACAAATCCTTTTCTGCAGACAGAAGACATCATTCAGTGTCAGAGGCAGATGAGCTTGAAGCAGTAGCAGGTGAAGCAGTGCAGGAAGGCGAGGGCAGCTTGCAAGGCAGCAGCTTGACAGCGACGCTTTGATGCTTGCTTGTGTAGGCGAGCAGCAGCTTGGGACAACAAGGCTTCTTCTCCACGAGTTGCGGGGAGGTTTTGTGGCTGGAAACTCTTCTGGGCCAGGTGGCATCGGATGGGGATTGGTTGGATGGAGGCTGTAGGTGCTTTCGCGGGCTTTCGCGGGGATCAGCTTAGATGTTTCTTTTTTGCGGTTCCTGCAACAGCAATCGTAAAATGGCACAGTGACACAAATCATCCTTCACATTTGAAGATGTCAAGTTTCCACACTATTTCACACGAATCTGACACTTCCTGCTATCCAAAAAACAACTTGAGGGGAAAGCTCGACCACAAATTTAATTGCACCACTCCAGTAGCTACCCTGGAATGAAGTGCTGTGAGATTGTGTGCACGTGTTAGATTGATACTTGCCTATAGCCTATACCTATATTTGCCTTCACTGCATATATGATATATTGCTTTCGCGGCTCAAAAATTGGAAGGTTGTTCGCAGAAGAAGAAGCTTCACACATTTGCTTTCGCGGAAAGTTAAGTTCCACTTTTGCATGTGTCCTTTCAAATGAAAAAAGACACGCTGCTCAATTTGTGTACTTATATACTGTACAACGCATTTTGCATATAATATATACTATATATTATTATTAATATATCCATAGCACATCTCTGCAAGACACACTCGTCTCCTCATCAGGCGCACCACCCTGAGCACATCTTGTGAGCGGCGGATTGCGCTAATGTGCTAGCTAGCTTTAACTTTAACAGGATGAAACAAAACATTAGACAATACAATATATATATATATAATCTTTACATATACTAAGTTGGTACAAGTCACCTTTGCCGCCTTCGGGTCCTGCCAACAGAAAGTCGAGTGAATGTCGGAATGTCAAGCACCAGCCCCATGGCCACCTTTGAAGGGAAGCTTCCCAAACGGTCCCGAAATGAGAATCAATGGTCTGTAGTTAGAGCCGAGTTCCCTCCAATGCCCAAGACCTATTCCGGGGCCCAATTCTCCAAAACACACTGGCCCTGCAACGCACTGAAAAGCTCGAGAAGGTATGACTCCACTGGGTACACATATTGGATAGATGATGGATAGGATCAAACAGGTGGATACCCGGATATCCGTGCTTGTATAAACTTGTGAAGCACACGCACTCTTTTCATGCTTTACAAGCACAAGTAACAAAATGTAACAAATAGAAGCCAAAAGCCAACAGTGGGCAAAATCCGAATGTCCAGTGTCCTTCTGCAAAACACCTCCACCAACGGCAACCATTTGCCGGACCTGCTCGCAGGAACGAGGTCTCTCGATTCAGACCACACGCGTCTGACGAGGTCTCTCGGTCTCTGGGTCTCTCAACGCACCTCCTGCATCTTCTTTGCAACCTCCTGAGGCCTGAGTCACTATAAGCTTCACAATCATACTATCAGCCAATGGAACTAAAGCTCCAATACAATCCGGTACATACTTCACGAGAACAGGATTGGATTGCAATTGTCTGATTTGTCCTAGATATATAGTAACTAGACTACCATCATCTACTATCTAGGAATGTAGTTCACATCGCGCTATCACCAACTAAGCTCGTTCATCCTGTGAGTCCGGGCATTACTCCAAATCCCATAAGGATATGCAGCATAGCCATAAAAAGGAACCACAGCCCAATCCTTGCCGTTGCCGTCTGATCGCTCACTAAATCGCAGTGTTCTGAGAGCGGTCCACCAGAGCTCTTGTGAATTTGGCAACGTGCAGAATTCTGAAAATAGACTTGGGCATTCAATACGGCATAAATGGTCTGAATGCATGGTCCTCATCGTTTTACAGTTACATCTGTCATGTATCTAGGCGGGCGGAGTGCACAACTAGCTGGACTGAGCATGCAAACTCAGGATGTCAGTCTATTGTCCCTCAATCCGAATCTGGTCTCAACATCCGCACAAAAGTGCTTGAGTTCCCGTCACTAGCTCAACAGGAGCGGTCAGACTGCCAAAGCAAAGGAACAATGTACCTCGCCCAGAATCATTGCAAAATCTTGGGATGATTTCATATGACTTCAAGGTCAGTCATTTAACAATTGAAAGGCATATAGAGAAGCAATTCTTTGCTTCTTAGTGTCTTGCCCTGAAACCCATAGAAAAGACCTGAGTCCACGTTCGTCAGGAGCAGACTCACACCGCAATGCAGCAAATTCGATAAACGTTGCATCTCTGCTGATCTTCCATGTTTGCGCTTCTGTGGCGTCCAACTGTTTGCAATATGCGAATAGATGTTTTAAATATTAAATATATAAATATGTATATATATATTATAGTATAATAAGTATCCGTGGTGTCTTTGCAATTGCTCAGTCCGTGGTATCTTTCAACCAAAGCCTCGGGCCACGTCCGGTCGCCTCTGCCAGGAACTTGGCCTCTTGGTATGCGCATCGCATCTATTTTTTTTTGCTTCTGACTCCACAACTCACAAAACCCAACCTAGTGACCTGGTCACTTCACAAGTCGTAAAAAAGAAATAACTGCTACTTACATATCAGATTATATATATATCATATATACGGATACACAGGTACTGATTTCCTTCCATGAATGGAGGTCATCAATGGTCATCGTGGTCATCATGCGGCACGGTGATGTCAAACGATCTCAACGGAATTCGTCCCATCTGTTCAACGTTCAGAAAGCGCATCTCAAGAGTTCCCCGGCACCTTGTTGATCAACAAGTCCTGGTAATCGTTCAATCCGGGCACCTTCTGAATCCACTCCGGCTTGGCCTCTGCGTCCAGCCGGTCGTCCGAGTCGATCGTCGTGAACGCGCGTCGTTTGGACGTCCACGCACGTCGCCCGCCTCAAAGAGCATGGTCGTGGTGGCGAAGAACAACTGCCCGCGGCTCGGCTGCATTCAATGCATGTTTGGCACTTGAAATGCGCAACAACATGTGTCTTAAAGACACTAGGCACGGGCGGCCTGGTAAAAGTGCACAACGTATTTGGGGATCCTTAGCCAGTTATCCTTTTGTCCGACACAAAGCAAGGCTTCAATGCTTCAAGAAGTATTTGTGTCACTTCAATAAGGTTAGCTTAAAGGATGCCTTGTTAAGGGACCCAACACCTTCCTTTTCTATCTCTTGTCTTCTTCTTTTGTTCTTCATCTCAATTACGAGTACTGTATGTTTCTATACTTATTCCGTTTAACCTGTGTTACCTTCCTTTTTCTCCTGTCTTACTTACATTGGTGTCAACACCACCAAAAGCCTGAAGGTCCCACGATACACACACACACACACCGACTGAGGTGGTGACTGCGTAGATGCTGAAATTGGGCTCATCAACTGAGCAAATGGGCAGCCCTATGGGCTCATCTGCTCTGCAAACTTGAGGAGCGCAAATTGTGCTCACAAAAATCTACTGTAAAATCCACGTAAAACAACTGCGTGGAGCGCAGGTAGTAGGCAAACTACATCAACTATCACACTCTCACCAGCTGTATGCTGGACTGAATTCAACATCATTCAACTAATTACCGAACCGAAAGAGCAACAGGTCAAACCTGGAAGGGATCTATCGCAAAGAAACTCATATTCCCATAGTGTGCCGCAAGATTTCAGCTGTTCACACCGTTGTTTTGTCAAAAATCGATCTATGTCCAGCTCAGCCAAGGTGCACCCAGCAAAACCCAAATGCTTTGTGCCAATGCTGCGACACCGCCAACGAAGGCCAGGACCTAAGGCACCCCGTGAAGACGACATGTTCTGGTTCCCCAAAAAGGAAAATAAGGAAAGATTGCAAAAAGATGTGAACATGCATTGGAATGTAATATATAAACAAATGCATTGGAACCGAGCGAGTTCACCAGCATTGCCAATTGCCAGGGCCCTGCTGGTTGTTTTATAGCCACAAAATCCCGTGTCCTCCAAGTCTTGCCTTGCCTCATAAAAAAGCAGTCCCACCCCTCTGTGCGGAAACGGCGGTGGTGAGGATCCGACGCGGACACCAGCAGGGCCCTGCTCTATCAAGCTTCCGACCTCGATGGGCGGGAAAGACATGGAAAGACATCAAGATGAACCATGAAAGGCCTCTCGACTTCAAACTGAGAAGAGGCTTTTAGGTTGGAGGCCATCGCGATTAGGTTGGAGGCCATTGCTCTTAGGTTGGAGGCACACACCAAAATCAATCACCTCGAAAGACTCGGAAGGCACACTCCAGCCTGGCTGACAGATTGCCAGACCTTCTCGGCTGCTATCCCTGCATACTGATACGCCTGCTTTTGCACCTGGAAGCCAAAACGTTGGGCAAGTCCAAATAGAGACCAGGACCATACATTGTGCCCCGGGAATATGGTCAGTTTGAATGCAAGGAGTTGTTCCGCCGTGAGCCACCCACTATTTTCTGCCCTGCAGAGGGTTCTTTCAGCCAGATGTTCAGAATCAATTCCAAAACCCAGTGACCCAGTGTGCCTCTGGATCATTTGCCCATTCCATGATCTTGTCCTTTGCAGCCGATGCGGCCTGAGCAAATCAATCCGAGTCCATCGGATTCTGCTTGGGGGGTGCAAGACGATCGTCCTAGACTTGACAACTACTCTAGGAACCAAATGAATAGTGCAAGCTATCCCAGTTTTATTTCAGTAGGAGCCTACTTAATTAAGGAGGCAGGGTAATTAAGTAGGAGCCTAAAAACGAGAAAGGTTAAAAAAGGGCCTCCGGAAACTTCTCTTTGGCAACCTTCAAGATTTCAGCTTGCACCGCTGGGTCGCTGAGAGCATCCTGACGATCGAAGATCGGTCGGAGAGGCGAGAAGAGAAACAGGAGAGGCGCCATCCAACAGGTTGGAACGTATCCTTTACTAGGCACGACATGCTGATTATTATATAACTATGATACATTATGATACTATATGCGATGTTTGCAGGATTGAATAACGAATGGACATGAACTTCGCCTCTCATGCTGGAAAGCTCGTTGTGACGTGGTTTGTCGTCTGACATGTTCTCCTGGCCAGCTTTCTTCACTGCTGCCTGTACCTCTCCCGCACTGACACTGATGGAGGCGCTCACTGATCAAAAGCTTTGAGCAACAATCCTCTTCAGTGGTACAAGTATTTTAATGTTTGTCAATATTGTGAAATGTCATGCCACCCAGCCACCCATAATCAGGAACAGCATTGTACATCTAAACTGGACTGCTTCAATAACAGTCGATGTGCTTATCCACATGCACTCAACCTGAAATGTGCCTGGCCTGAGGATCTTGGAGAATCTTATCCTGCACAGCAGGATCCTCAGAGGATTTAAGGATTCGAGGATTCGAGTGCAGCACACACAGTTCAAAGGCTTCTGCGGAGGGAAGCAAACAAAGCTGAGACAATTTTGCAAGCATCTTAATATGAGGGCATGCTCAAGGGTGTCCTTGGGTGATGTGGATATCACTGAGCATCTCTCAAATGGATTGTTGTCTTATTTGAGGTGCAGGCCACTCCTGCCATTTTCACGAGAGGTTCAAACTTCGAGCTACGCCCCTTGACTCTGGGCAAAAATGGCTCGCGGTGGAATAAAAGAAACCTACAGTAATTGTCTTCTTCGGAGTTCTTGATTCAGCCAACAATCAAAACGAAACCGAAGGTGTTCAAACATTCTTGGTACAGCTAGGAGACTGCAAATGGCCAGTGAAAAAACAGTTGCACAGCGTTAAGATGCGTTAAGTGATGTGCAAAACACCGATGCTACCGGGGTCGGATTTTGCGTCGCAGACCGGGGTCGGCCGAAAGCCGCTCTTGTGGCGAGGTTTGCCAGTCACGGTTCACTGCACTCGGTCACCTCGACTTGGTCGCAATCGAAACAAACACGTTTCTGTACTATCCCTTCAACCCCTCACCCTGCAGAACAAACCCCACATCTGTCAGCCCCCTGCCCCACTCAGCCTGACCACACTGCTTTCTAAGGAATGTCTCATGCAGCCGTCAAGATTGAAAAAGGAAGGGTCTTTCAGGTACCAATCAAGAGAATGTGCAGGTGGCGACTACATGAAATTGCAGAGCGCCCTGCCCTGCCACACTACACTCCGCCTCTTCATTTCCAACCAATGCAAGTTCGGACACCTGTAGAGGAGCTCCAATCAATCCAACTATAAAGTGAATTCCTTCCAACATAGCAAAATGACACTGAACATCATGAAACAATGAAATGAAATGAACGAGTGGGATGGAATGCGCTTGGACATGTCTGTGTACAACCATCGCTGTGATGCTCGCATCATGTCTTGGACTTATGTAGCTTCTACCAAAATCAATTGAAAGATCTTGGAACCCTTCATAGGGTGGAATCCAAACCCCACCTTCTGCGCAAACTGACACATCTGGGCCAAATCCAAGCCATCCCCCTGAGTCGACGTCAATGAACAAAAGAGTCATGTCGATGTCAGGATTCCGAGGAGTAGACATCGTGACTTGTGCTTGCCTTCACCTCGTGACATTCGAAGCTGGAAGCTCGGGCTGCCTACGGGCCCGATGGGGTCTGTCTGGAGTCTGTCTGAGTCTGGGGACACTGTGGACGCTCCAACGAAAGGAGCTGTATGACTGAGGCTTGCAGACCTCGGAGTAGATGGCGAAGAGGCTCGATGCAGACCTTGGGCTGCAAAAGATCTTTTCAACGAAAACAGGCCGCTGCTGAGCAAACAAAGGAGGCAAAACACTACAAAACACAACTGTTTGTTCTTTCAAGTCAAGTTTTCTCCTCTTTCTTCAGAGGGCAGCACAGGTTTGGTGATGGAATCCCTGCAGCTTGAAGCAGGTCACCAAGGCAGCTAATGACCTTCACTGCAGAGAATAAGCGATGGGCACTCAGTGTCAATCCTCTCTCATCCCCTCTCATTCCTACTCTGTACCTTACCAAAGCAGCAGCACAGCTCGAATATATCTTTCTGACCAATTCTTGCTATTGTCCTCATTACTTTGGAGGATCGAGTCACATGCTCATCAGTATCGGGTCCAGCAAAAGTGTAAGCCAGCAATGAAGTGCTTACATAGCCCTAGACTAGACTTCATCTGATTCATTTGCAGGCACTCCACCATCCAAAATCCACGGGATGACTCCGCAAACACTGCCAAAAGCCGCAGTTATATTTTTGTTTCTTCTCACGCGCAAGAATCCTGCGACTATTTGGACACAATACACTTCAATACACCATCCGTTTATCACTTTGTGAGACCCTGAAACTGAAGCCCTGGAGCAACCCAGCTGACTGTAGCAATTTGTGGCACTCACCACAAGGCGACTAGACACAGATTCGCATGTCCGGTGCTCTCCTTGTGTTTTCAATGGTAGCAACTGTAGCCAGCCTAGCCCTGTAGAACCGAGAACCCAAGAAGTTGGACAACCCCTTGCTTCACCTAGTAGCGATGCCAGGAGCCCCTAGTAGCGGCATTACTCCTAGTAGTAAGGCCAGGAGCCCCTCGTAGCTTCTTGTTCCTAGTAGTCACTAGCTGGCCCATATGGATTCCCAATGACAACTCCAATCGTCGTGGTGGTTGCCAATCGTCTTGGATTGCCCGAGTCCCAGTGCTGACCTTCCAGAACCAGTGCCCAAGTCCCAATGTCTTTTCAGGAAGTTTTGATTGTCTGATTAAGAAACAAACATGTACAATCACACCATACCACACCCTGCTCTGGACAGGAACGGTGGCTGCTCCACCCCTCATTCTTCTGCAATCCCATGTTTGAAGTTGAATTATTCACCCCATTCCCTGAGATGGGCCATTTGGCCAAGATTCTGGTCAAAATCCGAAGATTCGGGATTCCATGAGCTCTTTTGTCTTTTGAATCCCGAAGATTTCCGTCTTTGGAGCCTCTCCGTTCTTCCACGACAGTGTTCCACGTCCTGTCGGCTCCACTGCGTCGGACCGGTTTGCAAATCGGCGCCAGCCGAAGAAGTCCCTCTGGTTGCTGTGTCTGCCTATCCGAACACTATACAGACTACAGACTATACATCCATATGATCCAAATTTGACCATCCACCTTACAAGGATCAAGTCGAGTCTTCATTGCCCCACAGCATTGGTTCAATGAGACCATTGTTCCAACACAGCGAGTGCGCAAATCTGTCGTGCATTTCTTGTCGCAAGTGCACTTGCATATAAAATCACGCGCCGTGAATCCGTCCTGTGGCATCGAACTTCTCGAAAAAATGCTGGGCCAATGCCTGTCGGCTGGGACCCCTTCAATCATAAGAAATATGAATAAGTTGATAGGCCAGCAACTTTCAGGTTGGATGTTTTTGAAATCATTCAATCAAAACCAACAGATTCAGCACCTGCCGATTCTCTGAGGGCTCCAGATCCTGTGGCAAAGCACCGCAAAGCGGCAGTGTCTGAGTTGTACCTTGCTGAACCCTTGTCTGACCTATCACTACTTGAAAAGAGTTGTCCTGAACTCCAATGTCGTCAGCCCTCCATCTGGCAAATAGGACAAAATGGAGAACTGCACAAGGCAAAGGGTGGCTGGAGGGATACATTTCAACATCTCACTGTGGTCCTGTTGGGTGCAATCACAATCAGGTCATCTATAATCATGTTGAAGGTGCAACAATATATAGTATATATATTTATTTATTTATACTTATTTTTATTTAGTTATTGCTTTACCGTCTTTTTTCTTGAAACAAATTGGTCGCCCCTTTTTCTACCTCATTTGGGCCTCAGTGCGGAGTTGAACATCTATGTGGTGCACATCTTGCCATTGTGACTTGACGGTTCTATGATATCTAGCACCCCCCGTATGGCTAGTGGCGTGCACCACGAACAAGGTCGGACCGTGCGTCTCTGACCAGCATGGCTACATCCAAATGCGTGGTAGCAATCACCACTCGGTGACACAGTCCACTTGAGGCCTTCAATCTTGCGTCGAATCCTCTTCAACTCATTTCTCACATGGCCTTGGGCCTCGTCTCGCATCTTGACTGCCTTTGCCATCATGTCTTCTGCTCTTGCCATTGCTGCTTCTGCTTTCATCTTGGCTTCTTCTCCTTTTGCTCTCCAGCCTGAGGCTACGTCCATAGCCTTGGCTGCGCGATCTTTCTCTTGTTCTGCCACTTCCTTCCATCGCTCATCTTTTCTTGCAGGATCTTTCAACTGTTCAAGCTCATCTCTCGCTTCCTGTAACTCTTCACGAGTCTCTGCCGCTTCCTTCTTTTCTTCAACTTCTTCTCTCAATCTTTGAATCTCTTTTCTCTGCATCATCAATTCATCCTCCTTTCTCTCAAGATCACTTAAGACCTTTGACAAATGCTTCTGCACTTTCTTCATCTGCCTCGTCGATCACCTCGGGCTCTTCAATGCGATTGCACCTGTCATGGATCCATGCCCTCACAGCCTGGCATAGGCTCAAGGCCCCAAGTGTTGCCAGTACAATTGCGAAAGCAAAAATCCACATGAAACCCATGTTGCTCTCTTCTGGTGCTGTATGTGTTGTCGTAGTCAACTCTTCGCCCTTGCTGCCACGTAGCAACGCCATTGCAATCACCATTGCAACCTTTGCACCACTGCCTTTGAAAGCTTTGCCCATCTTTCTCATCTCTTCCTGTGCTGCAACGCCGTTGCATTCTTCACGCCCTTTCTCATCCACCATCTTCACAAGAAACTTCAAGCCTTTCAATCGGCTTTTGCTGAGACACTTCGTCCCTGCATCACTTGTGTTCACTGCTGTTGGAACTCCAGTCACTCGGATCGACTAGTCTGATGTCTTCTCCTGTAACCAGAGCATGGCTGCTGCAATGTGCCTGCTTCGTCCAATGCCAACTCTTGTTGCTAGGGCCCTTGCTGCTGATGAATCACTGCGACACACCAACAATGCACGCTCACCTGCAATGAACTCCCAACAACGCTGAATGAACAAGGCTTCACTGCAACCTCCAACCACGCAGATGTACTCACTCTCGCCTGAACTCAATGAAATGCTCTTCTGACCGCGTACATAGCTTTCCATCATGTTCCCATTCAAATAAATTTGAACAGATGACACTGAACGCCTTGTCGATTGCTGTCCGGCATAGTCAGCATCACAGATCACTTCCAGAAGGCTTGTCTTTCCTTCATCTTCCCATTCGAAATGCTCCTTGCCTGAGTCGACAAACAGCATACTTCGGCCTTTGGGTCCTCGTTTCAGCAAAATGCCTTCTCCGATGGCCCCCAACAAATACGAACTCACATGCTTCATCTACTTCCATCCAGCCTTTCTTGGTCGCCGCATCAATGCTGCAAGTCCTTGAGAAACAAACTGGATGTCAGGTCTGTCAGGAGCAATGTAAAGCAACTTTCCGACTGCACTGCGGAATCTTGTCACCTCACTTTCTTCCATGGGCTCATCATCTTTTGACAACTTCGTGAAATTGTGATCTGTCGGAGTGGATCGTGGCTTGAGCTTCTCCACATGTGTCAGCTTTGCTAACTCCTTGATGTGCTCACTGTCTGCTCGGACTGTGATGCCATTCTCTGTAACTTCCATCTGTCTCTTCAAGTATTCAAAAACTCCATGTCGTATTGGGCCTTTCTTCTCCAACTTCCACTTCTTGCCCTCCAGGAACTTGATGAATGATGTCACCTCCTCTGGGTCACCAATGACCATCAAATCATCAACATGGATTGTCAACAGGAGTCGTTTTCCCACAATGTTCGTCTCTTTCTTCATGAAAGTGGGCTGCATCTTGTCCATCACCAAACCATATTCCTTGGCTGCTCGGCAGAAACCATGGGGCCATTGAGCTGCTGCATTTCTCTGTCCAGGTAGGTTTCGACGGAGTCGATATTTGTCATGAGGAGTCATGACAATTGCCTTCTCATCTTCAGGCTGATCCGTCAACAGAAATGCATCTTTGACATCCAACACGTACAGGCTCAACCCTGTCATCAGCATGAACTGCAGCATCAAACGCACAATGACTGAAGCTGATGTTGGAGCAAATGCATCATCTGTAAACACGCTCCATTTGTACTGCCTCGCCACTAATCCAGCGCGCCTGAACCAGCCTCCTTTCTCCTCTCTGTTCTTCCACGTCACCACCATCTTTGTGGTCAAGGTGTAGGAACCAGGTTCGTCCGGATCGTCCGGATTGAGACGTTCAAGAACTCCCATCTGCATCATCAGCAGCTCTTCTTCATGTTTGGTGGCTTCATCATCAAGCTTAGCCAACTCTTCTTCTGTCACGTCTGGAGGTTCGTCCTTGCCAACATGCTCATAGGTCTCCTCCTCACTGTCGACGTTCAACTCGGACTGCAAGAGCTCTTCTGCCAGCGAGCTGTCTCGTCCAGGATGTGTCTCTTGAATTGACCTCAAACGCTTTGGACTGGGTTCTTCTGTGTCATCTGGCACTTGTATCACAGCTGGTCTCGTGATCTGTGACCCACTGCTGTGTGCTCCTTCTCTCTCTCTCTCTCCACCAGTCCATTGCCAAATGGCATCCTTCTCAGTCTTTCTCATCTTCAATGGACTTTCCTCTACGACAGCACGAGGACTTTCTTTTCGCGCATCTTTCATGAACGGCAGCATCGTCTGTTTCTCCTTATGCTTGCTCTTGGGAACTGGTGCAACTGCTGTTGCTGGCTGGTGGCATTGCGATGCCTGGGGTCATAGGTGCAGGAGTTCCCGGCGCCAACACTGGAGTCTTCGGTCTTGGAATTCCACCTGGAGTTGGTGGGACTGGAGTCTGGGTGCCCTGATTTGGAGCTGGTGTAATGTAACCAGGATTCATTCCATAGAGACCCATTGCCACACCTTCACCTGTCTTCCTGGCATCCTCTTCCAGCACTTCTTCACTGGCCATCGACTTCTTCTTCAACATCTGCCTTCCTGGACTTTGCCGCAAACTTGCTCCTCATAAGCAATCCTTGGACACTGTATTGCCATGGAACTCCGCGGGCTGTGACAAGTAGATTTCCATCAAACTGTTCCGGCAACCGTCGAATGCTCCGAGCTTCGACCGCTCCACTTCGGGTGAGCAGAATGTGACTGTCTCACCACAATGACTTGCCAACCCAGATGCCTCTTCGATAGACAGGTTCTCCTTTCCATTTGGCCCTCATCGTATCCTTGAAGAGAACCATCTCTCCAAAGATCACCACCTTTCCATTGTACTTCCGGTCGTTCATCACCTCAAAACTTGTTGCTCCATTGATGACCCTGAAACGTGTCATCAACCATGCCGCACGCCGGAAGCTCCAAGGATACACGTGTTGTTGTCCTGTGATCTTCACACCTGCCTTCTCCTCAACGAAACTCCTCAGCGTATTTGCAAGCTTCCTCACTGATTGCACAGTCTTCTCAGCTTGACCATTGCTTGCATGTTGTTCAGCTCCTGTTGCTCGAATTTCTGTGGCCATACCTAACGCAGCAGGTGCATGTTGGACTGCCCTCATCACTTGCTTTGTCGCTGGCTCTCCATCTGCTTGTAGGATGACAGGATTGGCATTGGCCAGTGAACCTCAACAGTTCCTCTGTCACACGGCTGAGGGATGCGCTGCCTTTTGCAACCACTGGGATGCACATCACTGCCTTGGTCTCCGAGTCTGCTGCATACAGAGCGGTGCCCAGTTGCTTCTCTTCACCTGCTCCTTCAGTGTACGTGAACCCATAATCAAATGAAATCACCTGCTTTCCACGATCTCTTCGATCTCCTCGACCTTCGGCCGTCCTGGCATCTTCTCGTGCTCTATTCACGACACACTGCATGCACCAATCTTGGTAGGGCAGACGCATGAGAAGATGTAGCTCCTGTTCATGTCTGGTGGGAAGCTTCGGTGTCTTGATAGGAATGGGTTCACGTCGACTTTCAGCATACAGCCTCTTTGCGCTCTCATAGGCAATGCGCTCTTCCTCACAATGCTTGTATTTCTGTAGTCGTGCCAACAGTTTTGCTTTGGATCCTGAAGTCGCCAGGCCAAGCATGTTGCACTTCTCCTGCAGCTTCTTCAAAGTGTTTGCCATAGTCACGACCTCCTCGTCAATCTGCACTTCCACTTCTTGGGGATCTGCAAACAGCACTTCTTCTCTCACTTCTGGCTGCTCTCCACTCTCAGCTGCCAATGTGGGAATTTCTCCTCCTTCACGATCCACCTCCTCATCCTCGGGCCACGAAGCAGGTTCTCCATCCAGCAAAGGATATTGTCACGAATCCTGCCTGTTGCAACAAATGTCAAAATCTTCCGTGGTCCTTGAGGTGGAACCTGAAATGGTGCAGGAGAGCTTCTGTAGTCAACCATGCAACGATTCAACCTGCTGCCATTGACTCCCCTTTCGATCCTTGATCATTGTCATACGAGAAGTCTCTTCATCCCCAAATGCAGAACTGGGATCATGGAAGCGTGTTGCATTGGGGTTGGAGTGCGCCATAATCCCATTGGGCAAGACATGCCAACCTGGGACACTTTCGAGCGTAGCCAACTCTCTCGAGATGAATCCACAA